AGCATTTTTTTAAAAAAAAAGCTCTCCACTCACCAGCTGCAGAGCATTCAGATGACAGCATGCTGCCACTGCCAGCTGTAGTCAGCACCTGCCCCTGAGTCTGCCCAGCACAGTTCGTGCCATGTGCCAGGAAGAGCCCAGTTCTGGTGCTGGCCTCAGCTGGCAGCGGCAGCATGCTGTCATCCCTCATGCAGATCTGGTGGCCCATGCCTCCCCAGGAGGGCTGTGGGGCTGTGCCAGACTCTTCCTGCGGGGTGTGGGCCCCCAGATCTGTATGAGGGATAACAGCAGGCTGCCATTGCCAGCAAGTGAAACTAGTTTTGCTTTGAACAGTTTGAGGTGCTGTTTCACATAAACCCCTACACCTATCTCCTTGACACTTGGCAAGCCTCATGCCCTTGGAAGGGGCTACCATTCCTGCAATTTTCATCTGAATCAGGCAAGAAATGACAAAGTTATAGGCATTTTAGTGATTCCCCATTATAGCCTATGGCCAAAACACTGAAACCGTGTTGAAACTCCGAAACAGATTCAGCGGAATCGAAATGGGACAGTGATCTGAAACACCAAAATGAATAACTATCCCTCCAAAACACTGAATCCAAAGCCAAACAGAACATAGCCATTTTGCACAGCCCTATTTTGGACTGGCTTTTAATTATATTTCATGACAAAGTTCGCACATCTATTATGTGTGATGCTGGAGCCTAGCTCAGTCCCAGGACACTGATGTGGCCCCACCTATACCAAAAAGTGGAATTTTGCCCTGTCTTAATAATACATGAAGTGCTGATAGAATCAGAGAAAATTAGGGTTGGAAGGGACCTCAGGAGGTCATCTAGTCCTACTCCTTGCTCAAAGTAGGACCATACCCAACTAGATCATCCCAGCCAGGGCTTTATCAAGCTGGGCCTTAAAAACCTCCAAGGTAGGTAACCTGTTCCAGTGCTTCACCACCATCCTAGTGAGAAAGTTTTTTTCTAATATCCAACCTAAATTTCCCTTGCTGCAACTTGACAGCATTGCTCTTTGTTCTGTTATCTGTCACCACTGAGAACAGTCTAGCTGCATCCTCTTTGGAACCATCCTTCAGGTACTTAAAGGCTGCTCTCAAATCTCCCCTCCATCTTCTCTTCTGAAGACTAAATAAGTCCAGTTCCCTCAGCCTCTTCTCATAAGTCATGTGCCCCAGATCCTGAACCATTTTTATTGCTCTCCACTGGACTCTCTCCAACTTGTCCACATCCTTTCTATAGTGGGGGGCACAAACTAGACACAGTACTCCAGATGTGGCCTTACCAGTGCAGAATAAAGCGGAATAATTACTTCCCTTGATCTGCTGATGTTCCTGCTAATGCAGCCCAGTATGCTGTTAGCCTTCTTGGCAACAAGGGCCCACTGCTGACTCATATCCATCTTAACATCCAGTATAACCCCCAGATCTTTTTCTGAAGAGCTGCTTCTTAGCCAGTCAGTCCCCAGGCTGTAGCTGTGCATGAGATTCTTTTGCCCTAAGTGCAGGTCTTTTCACTTCTTTTTGAACCTCATGAGATTTCTTTTGGCCCAATCCTCCAATTTGTCGAGGGCACTCTGAATCCTAGCCCTACCCTCCAGTGCATCTACTAAACCCCCGCAGCTTGGTGTCATTAACAAACTTGCTAAGGGTGCAATCTATCCCATCTCCCAGAATGTTAATGAACGACCCCTAGGGCACTCCACTTGTTACCAGCTGCCAACTAGACATTGAGCCATTGATTACTACTCACTGAGCCCAACAATCCAGCCAGCTTTCTATACACCTTACAGCACATTCATCCAACCTATACTTCCTCAGCTTGCTTACAAGAATGTTGTGGGAGACGGTATCAAAAGGCTGGCTAAAGTCAAGGTATATTATGTCCACTGCTTTCCCTGCATCCATAGAGCCAGTCATCTTCTCACAGAAGGAAATCAGGTTTGTTAGGCCTGATGTGCCCTTGATGAATCCATGCTGACTGTTCCTAATCACCTTCTTCTTCATCAAGTACTTAGAAATGAATTCTTTGAAGACCTGCTCCATGATTTTTCCAGGGACTGAGGTGATGCTGACTGGTTTGTAGTTCCCTGGATCATCCTTCTTCCCTTTCTTAAAGATGGGCACTAAAATCTGATGCACCTACAGATTTTAGATTATGCTCCACATTGTTAGGAACATACAGCTCAACTCTTCAGTTTGAAATGAACTCCTTTCCTTCATACTTTTATAATATTATCCTTCATTATTAGGGACGAGCTAGATCACAAATGAATCAGAGTTTTTGCCAAATGATTACTTACAAAAATAAAATTCAGACCACATTAAACTTCCATTATTACTTGTGTTGGATCTGTAACTGGTTCTACAATGTGTTTCATATACCTTGCTAGGTAGTCAGGTATGATCCAGAAATCAAGGTGGTTAGAATTACACAGAGCCTGGTTATTTCATCTTTCCATCAGTGTTCTAAATTAGGCTTTTGGTCTACTTTTGACTCCATTTGTACTTTGCATTGACCCACATAAAAAGGCTGTGGTCATTACTCACAGGAAAAATACAAGTCCTGTTGAGTCCATAATTGTCATTGAGCTTGTATTGATTACTGACAGGGAATAAAAGTCACCCTACAGACTGTAGTGAGAAAAAGCAGATGTCATTTGCTATGTGAGGGATTTAATTCAATTAACATGTCAATAAATATTTTTATAGAAGAGTGTGACAAACAATGACATGCCTCATTATGCTACTGATATAAACCATTTGAATCTATCTCCTGAAACACTAAGAATTTCTGGAACCAAAGTAAGTGATGCATCATATGTATACTTCCAGAAGCTTGCATAGCACCATGTTTGAAGACAGATCCTTTTCTGGTGGAATTTGTCACAGCTACATTAAAGTCAAATGACATTATGACAGTTTATATCAGTTGAGGATCTGCCTTATGGTAACTGCATCCTAAAAAACAGGAACAGGTCCTAATGTTCATTTTTTTAATTGCAGTGTAATGTGAAAAACCCCCAAATGGTTGGCCATAAAGTAAGCTAACAAATTATTGTGCTGTGAGTGAACAGACACACATCAGCATACTAAAACAAAACAAAGTATATATTTAATTAAAAAAAAATCTTAAATGTCACAACATTCAGTCAGTCTGGTTTCTTTCAATACAGATAAGATTGCGATTCCAGATTTTGGTACCGGTGCTATGGAGAACTGGGGTCTGATCACATACAGAGAAACAAACCTACTTTATGATGCTAAAGAATCTGCCTCTTCTAACAAACAGAGAGTAGCAGCTGTGATTGCCCATGAGCTGGTTCACCAGGTAAGCCTTATAATAAGTTTAATTTTTAAAGCACTGAAAATGAACAGTGGCAATACTTTATTTGTGGAAATAATCAACCATAAATCTTGTTTCCAGTTCTTCTAAGCAGACATGCACTTCACTTGAAAATTGAGTGCACAAAGGCAATTCCATATTAGAGCTCCACAGTACTGGAATTATTGCAAGCATATTTTTCTAAGGAAATAAGATATTTACATCTAGAATGTTTTTCAGTCTCTGAAAATATGCCTATGTCATGTGCACTTCCATTTCTGTATCCAGATGTTTGTTTTGAGCATGCAGATAGATGCAACTGTAAACAGTGGAGGCTGCCTGAACTTTAGTTTTTGTAAATCAAATCAAATCAAATCAAGAGGATAAAACCATAAACACAAATCAGTTGGCTGAAAATATGAATCAATAGCAGTCACCTCTGTGTTGAAATCAGCTATGATCTTATAGTCCCTTTATAAACTGAGGTTTATGACAATTGCAATCCTGTAACAAGTAAGTAAGTGAAAGTACTTGGAGAAGAGTTGCAAAACTCTAATATAGACTTATCACTAATATATGTTGCATTTTTTAACACTTACAATTATAGTGGTTTGGGAATATTGTGACCATGGACTGGTGGGATGACTTATGGCTAAATGAAGGATTTGCCAGTTTCTTCGAGTTCCTGGGAGTAAATGCTGCAGAAGCTGATTGGGAAATGGTAATAATTCTTTTCCTATTATTACTTTGTTATTTTTTAATGGAGTGAATTAAGTCTGATGAAAATAAGGAGTCACAGTGAATATATGCATACCTATAGGTATATAGGCATGTAAAGAAAAGAGGACTCAATAAACTGATCATAGAACAATAGGATTGGAAGGGCCCTCAGGAGGTCATTTAGTCCAACCCCTGCTCAAAGCAGAACCATTCCCAACTACTTCATCCCAGCCAAGGCTGGGCCTTAAAAGCCTCCAAGAATGGAGATTCCATGAGTATCACATTGAGCTATGCAAGTTGGAATCTGTAAGGACTACTCAGTTTAGAAACTTTCATTTCAACTAGATGTTGGCCTGAAACTGGTCGGTAAGTCACATTTTTGCTTACTGGAGAGAGTACTATTTAAGAGTGAGTAAAATAGTGAAAGAGTAAAATGTTATTCACACTCAAGAATGAATAAGTGGATTCTGCACCTGGACCTGCCATTTCTACAAGGCTGTGGTGACCTTGCTTTTGAAAGATGAAGATTCTTCTTTGAATCATTCAGTACTGCTGAAGTGTCATTTTTAGTGGCTGCAGAACCATAGCCCAACCTCGAATCTCAACTCTTCTGAATTCTGAAGGATTTAAGAGGGGACTATTATTGTTCAGGTTCAGCTCCAAACCCATCTCCGCACACTTTTAGTTCCCTATGTAAAGAGGAGTCAGTTTTTCAATTCCAGCTGCTACCAGTATTTCCAACACCATGTCATACAAGCCTGCTAACAGCAGCAATAATCATGATGATGTCTAAAACAGTGGAGACAGTGGGTAGGTTCTTTTTATGAGAGCTTCCAGCACTGCTAGCTAAATTACTCAGTCCCATTTCATGGCTAACAGAAAAAAAAGAGAGGCTTTCTTTACAAGTGGTTTAGATACAGAAGAATGATAGTCTTGTATAAACAAAGCGACTATTGACCCTCAGAATCAGAAAAGGTAGTTCGGAGAATTTTGGTGTTTATATTTTGCTGTCAAATATCCAAAAATTAAAAAGACTCTAGTCCATTCTTAATATTACATGTTCATTTTGACATGGGAAGCTGTAGCATATTAGACTGCTAATATATTAGGTCCCTTATACCAAAATAGCATCCATTGGCCCATTTATTTTAGCAGTGGTCAGAGCAAATTTGATGCTTCCAAGTAAAGGCAAGACCCCCAGTGCATAGTTTCATTTGTGTAGTAGTGTGGTGCATTAAAGGGTAAAATCCTTCCTGGATCAGTCCTTCTACATCCTGCAATGCAAATTTAGTTATTCTTATTTTAGCCTATATAAGTACAAGCATTATAAATCATAAAATTGCGCATTCTCTTTTTTAAAACCAAGGCATCGTATTCAACTAAGGCAGCGTGGTCCCCAGTCCACAGCTTGCAGAAAGCATGCTGAGCATTAGACCCTGTGATGTTGTTCATACTCAGAAGAAAATTTGCTTTTGAAAAATACTTGTTATTTTAGGCTGACAGGTAGAGCAAAGTATGATATTAGGTAAAATATGTTGCTTGCTTTGGATTGTTGCTATGGGTCAAAGGTTGGGGACCTGTGAAATAAGACACAGGGATCCAGGTTTTCCATTCACCATGGAAAAACATGGATTTTCCCCCTTTTAAATAGAAAAAAATGGGGAATTACAGGTTTCCCTTCACCAGCCGGCAGACTTTTGTGGGGGGAGTGGGAGAAGGGTGATCAGGCAGGGGCGCCATATGCATGTGCACCTGCATACATGTACATGGCAGCCAAGCAGTGTGGAGAGCAGCTCCTACAGATCCCTGTAGGTAAGTCTATGGGGGGAGGGGGCAGATTAAAGACACCCACAGTAAGGGAAGAAGGGCTGGGGAGTCTACCCAGCTGGGGTAGTATGTGGGGCCTGGGCCTAGGATGGGAATGCAAGACTGCAGGGTTTGGCCAGGGAGCAGGATGGAGCCAAGCATGGCTCATTTAGGTGGCTGACAGGTCCCAGCCACTGCATGCACTCCTGGGGAGGGAGGCATGGGAGAACACATGCCTCCCAGATTTATACATGGGGTGGGGGCAGATACAGGCTGCCTGCTGCAGCCTTGGGGCTCCCCACCCTGCCGTCCTCCCCTCTGGGCCTCTGCAGCAGAGTGGAGTGGGCAGACTTGGTGCCACTGCCAGAAACCTGACATTGGCTGCGCTGCCACGGCAAGCTGTCCCCTGCCTGCCCAGCAGCAGTGGGGGTGGGGATGTGGAGGGCTGAGGGGAAGAGGGTTTCATGTTGGGAGTGAGAGGCACTGACAGGGCCAGGGGGCAGCAGGTTGCAAGTGAGGGGCAATGGCAGGGCACTGGTATAAAATCAGGGCTGCTCAACACCACAAAGCAGGAAGGGGGAAAACTGCAGCTAGACCCATGTCCTGATGAATGAAGAGGGCAGGGGGAGCTCTGATTTTCTATGATAAAAGACCCCAAAATAAAACACCAAAATATATAGGGATTTAGAATTTATTATAATGACTGAGGCACCGGTAAGCTTCCAAAATGCACTAATATTGTAACTATATTACTAAAATATTGTGTTTAACTTATACATAT